GTCTAGAACAACGGTAGATAGGTAGGTAGCATCAACAGTCGAAGTTTTGTAGATTTTCACCCTGCTAGATTTTGTGAATCCCCCCTCCAAAATAAAAAATAAAAAATAACAGGGAATATAGAAAGTAAGAGAAGAAGATACCATGAAGGTACACACAAAGGCAATAGAGAAGGGTATATTGGAAAAGGACAATGATGCAACTAGAGATTTGAGTTTTTCCTAATCCCACTTTATAGAGGCATGGTTCAAGAAACAAACCTACTGGCTTGATCTATGAATTGGATTACCCTACTTTTTTAGTTCCTGCCCCATCCTCCTTAGTTCCAAGTATGTGTATGTCCATTCAATTTTGGTTATTGATGTGTTTTTTATCTGAAACAGATGCACCAGCTACCAAGCCCGAGGGATTGGGAAAGGAAGATGAAGGTGGGACAAAAATGATAGAAGGGAGGGATATTGAGGAAAGGAAAATTGTGGAAGAGGAAGTAAAGAGGATATGGGGTTTAATAAGTGAATGTTTTGAGGATCTCAAACTAAATGAAAAAAATAACTGAAACGGGAACTCAAGAACCATGTATGGAAGGAGTTGTGGAAGAGGAGATGACAAAGATAGAAGTAGAAAGGTTAATTTTTGATGTAGAGGGTAATTTTGAGTTCAGTGGGAGGGGAGGTCGAAAGAGACTATCTAAGTAGGGAAGGGAGAAAAAGGAGGGGTTAAGATAAAGGTTAAAGAATGAAAGTTATTAGTTGGAATGTGAGAGGGTTGGGGAGTGCAAGAAAAATGAGGGTAATAGAAGATCTAATAAAAAGAGAGAACCCTGAAGTTGTGATGTTGCAAGAGACTAAACTAGTATAACTGGATAGGAAGCTGATCAGAAGCTTGTGGGGATCAAGAGGCATAAGATGGATTGAGGACCCTTCCTAGGGGGCTTTAGGGGGTGTGGTGATTCTATGGAAAGAAGAGGTATTGGAATCAATGGAGGAGTTGATTGGCAAATACACCGTATCAGTGAAGTTTAAGAATGTGGATGACGGGTTTCCTTGGGTATTAACTAATGTTTACGGACCAAATAGATACAAGGAAAGAAATGAGCTTTGGAATGAATTGTATGTAATGTGGGGTTTTTGGGAAGGTGCCCAGTGTCTTGAAGGGGATTTCAATGTTATAAGGTTATCTAATAAAACTTCTAACCCTAATCAGTCAATAACCACTATTACAAGGAGATTTAATGAGTTTATAGACAGGTGTTAGCTGAAGGAGATCCCTCTTATGCATACTAGCTTTATTTGCTCTAACTTTCAAGAAAATCCACTATGTTCAAAATTGGACAGATTTTTGTTTAATGTGGGTTGGGAGAACCATTGGGAAGATTTAATGTCTAGAGCTTTACCCAGAGTCACTTCGGATCATCACCCCATTAGAATAGGATTATAAATTCTTCTAAATGGTTTCACTCCTTTCAGATTTGAAAGTATGTGGTTGACACATCTAGATTTTGTCCGCATAACTGAAGATTGATGGAAGGAGGACCTAAGGGGGTTAAGGTGGGAGAGAATCAAATTCCATAAGGAGCTACAAAGGTTGGGGGCAAAGATAAAGGAGTGGAATAGGGACCATTTTGGAAGATTGGAAGAAAGGAAGCTTACTCTCACATCTCATATTGAGGAATTAGATAAGTTGGAGAATGAGAGAGTTCTTAATGAGGATCAAAGGGAAACAAGGTGGAAATTGAAGAAAGATTTAGAGGAAATTCTATTGAGATATGAAATTTGTTGGAGACAAAAGTCAATACATAAATGGATAAGAGGGGGATGGAAATACAATTTTTTTCCATGCAATGGCCAATGGTAGAAGGTGTAAGAACTTTGTGGCTAGACTGTAAATTAATGGGGAAGTGATATCTAATCAGGATGAAATAGTCAGAACATTTGTGGACCATTTTAAATCTATTTATAGAAGACCTTTGGATGAGAGATTGATCTTAGAAGGACTATAGTGACCCTTACTGGAAGAGGAGGCAACAAGATGGCCGGAAAGGGATTTTGAGGAGGAGGAAATAAAAAAGACAATGTTTTCCATGAATAGAGCCAAAGCATCTGGTCCAGACGGATTCACAATGGCTTTCTATAGATTTTTGGGAACTTTTGAAAGATAATTTGTTTGAATTTTTTATTGAATTCTCAAATACACATATTATTTGTTGTGGAGTTCATGCAACCTTCTTGGCTCTGATTCCCAAAAAACCTGAGGCCAGTCAACCTAAGGATTTTTGACTCATTAGCTTGGTGACCAATACCTATAAAATTTTAGCCAAAGTCATGTCTTTGAGGCTTAAAGAAATCCTCCCCTCTCTCATAAGCTAGTTCCAAGGAGCATTCGTCCATGGAGACAAATTATGGATAAAATCCTAATAGGTAATGAATGTGTAGAAGAAATGACGAGATTTAGGAAGGAAGGATTCATATGCAAGTTGGGTTTAAAAAATGCTTATGACTTGATGGATTGGAACTCCCTACTACACATAATGCAACAAAGGGGATTTGGGGAGAGGTGGTGTAATGGGCTATTTGATTGTGTTTGGTCTTGTCATTTTTCCATCATTCTTAATGGAAATGATGAAAGATTTCTTTACGGCCTGTAGAGGTTTAAGGTAAAGAGATTCCCTCTCTCATTTTCTGTTTACCCTAGTGGTGGATGTTTTTAGTAGGCCACTCTTGAAAGCAGATGGGGAAGATGAAGTTAAGGGTTGGAGAGTTGGCAAAAATAGGGTCCTGGTGTCTCATCTCCAATTTTTAAACGACATCATAATTTTTGTGAATAGGGTAACCCTAGGAGCGTGAGGAAGTTAAAGAATTGGTTCAAAGGTTCAAAAAGGTGTCAAATTTGAAAATCAACTTGGACAAAAACTTTGTAGCAGGGATTAATATGGAAGAGAGTGTCCTAAGTTTGGTTGCGGAGTGCTTATGGTGTAAAATTACCCCATGGCCTTTAACATATTTAGGACTTACCCTAGGAGCTAACCCTAAGGATAGTAGATTATGGATCTTAGTTATAAAAAGATGTGGTAAGAAATTGGCCACCCGGAAAAAGAGTTACATCTCTTTGGGAGTGAGGATTGCCTTGATAAGATCTACTTTGGTTAACTTACTTGTCTACTCTTCTCCGTTTTTAGGATCCATTCAAGGGAATAAAAGAAGTTAGAAAAGATTTTTTGGGATTTCCTCTGATAACCAAGAGAGACAAGAAAGACCACTTAATCAATTGGAGTGTTGTGTGTAAAAGTAAGGAAGAGGGTGAACCAGGTCTTAGGAATTTGAGAAAGAGAAATCTAACTCTTATAGGAAAATGGTCATTTGAGTAGGAAAATTTGTGGGTTGAAGTAGTGAATAGTGTTCATGGGAGACTGGAGAGCGGCTGATATGCTAGTGTATCACATCGGGTTACTTTGACAACACTCTTGAAAGCAATCCACAACGTGCTTCCTTAGTTCCTCAATTTTATCAAGTATGGTGTTTGTTCAGGAAACCTAATTCATTTTTTGGGAAGATGTTTGACTTGATGACTGCTCCTTAAAGGATCTTTTTCATTTTTTGTACTCCATTTCTTTATACAAAAATAAGGTGATTTCGAGCTTTGTAGTCCTTTCTACTTCACCTTTGAATTTTAACTGTGATTTTGGGTTTTGAAGGGGGCTGAGGGATGAAGAGCCTCTTGTTTGACAAAACTTCTCTCACGTTTTGATATTGTTTGCCTTGAACCCTCTAAACTAGACAAGAGAGTTTGGTCACCAAATGGTGGATATGTTTAAAATGTTCTCCTTTCATGACATGTGGAGGAATTTGTCTACAGTAGCTTCTAGTTCATTCCGAAAGACTAAGATACGATTGACTTGGACACCACCCATTGAAAGATTTATGAAGCTAAATTTTGATGAGAGTAGTTGAAGCAATCCAGGACTTTTTAGAATTGAAGGAACTATTAGAGACAAGGATGGGAATTTGAGAGCACTCTATTTAGGATCAATGGGGATTGGGGACTCTATAAGGGCAGAACTGTATGCAATCCTACAAGGTATACAAATTACAAGGGAAATAAGGGTGGAGTGCTTGGTGATAAAGGGGGACTCTAAGGTGGTGGTGGGTTGACTTAATGATTTATATTCAATGATATGGTGCTGCAGGAATGAATTGAAGAAATTCAAATGGGAGACACAACATATGAATTTGATGATACAATGGGTGGGAAGGGAGGCTAACTCATTTGCTGATTGCTTACCCAACAAGGAGCAACTAGGGATCAATTTTTAAGGGCCAGGCTGTACCTTGCGCCTCCCATTGTGATGCTTGTAACAGTTTTTATTATACCGATAATTAAATTTTGTTTATGAAAAAAAAAAAAATCGAGAGCCCAATCAGCCCAAGGCAGGCTCTCCCTGCGTTACACAACACGTCAGCCAAAATTTTTCCCTAAATTTCCGGTCCGGACTCCGGAGTGGTACAACGGTGACTAACTGAATACATTGTCCAGGGGACAATGCCTACTGGTAAGTGGCCTGGAAAGGCATCTCGGGATATACCCGTCCCGTCCGTCTTACACTAATGGGACCCACCTTTAAATGGCCCCGCCACGAAAGTAAATTCGTAAACTTCTTACTTGGGAGTTGGTCGAATGGTCGGTACACCAATCAGATGGGTTGAGGTCATCAGATTCCGATCGTTCAGCTTCGCGGATAATTCCCCTCTTATGGTGGGTCCGCATTCCTTTTGGCAAGGTTGGTCTTACTGTTGACTGTGGATACCAATAGTCGAACCCGGGTCTTTGTGGAACATCCCAACATTTGCCGCCAGGCCAATGGAACGAGAATGGTGAAGGGTTAATTTGGTCATTTCACCATGAACAGGGACATATCGTGCGCGATCTCGTAAAACGAAACACGGATACGTATACGTTCTTTAATGGTACAGCGTATGTTTTCTTTATTTTTTTGGGTGTAAGCGAATAACACTGGATCCAGAGAGACACTACTGAACAGTTCCTCCTCCTCTCATGATCTCTCTTATAATATCGCTGATCGGAACTCAGTAGCTTATAAATGAATACTTTGGATCTCTGCGTCTGGAGGACAGGTTCGTCTGCAATTCATTGTCAAGGCTCTGATTTGGCAGACCAGACAAGGAAAGCTAGGGTTTTTGACATGAAGGAATGTGGGGGAATCGTACTTCATTTGATCATTATTTGAACTCGGGTGCATCAATTATAGAAGACAGATTATACGGAGTCGGGAAATTCTCAAGCGGAAATGGCGTTGTCGCCTGTCACGTTCCTTTTCGGGTTCCTGCTCATTTCAGTTATCGCATGGGTCATCTTCATGTAAAGCCCTGAATTCTAACATCTTCTGGATTTTAGCTTTTTTTTTTTTTTTGTCATCATAAATTACAGTTGGTGCTTCTAATCTGGAAAGTAAGTTCTGTGGAACTGTTTCATCTTTGAAAAGCGGACATTTTTAGAAACAAAGGCCTCTTCACTGGAATTTGTTCCAAGGAAGGTCATTGGCATGATGCTTTCTTGTATTTTTTTTTTTAATTTTGTTTTTTTATATGCAACACAAGTGGCGTCTAACTTCCATTTGAATTGCGGAAGTTTTCTTGTTTCTCAATGTATAGCATCTGACTACATGGGCTCATGGGCTGTACTTGTGTGTGGTTTTTTCTTTTTGACCACAACAATTGCTCTTTTCTTTTTGATCGATATCAAGATCAGCAAGAACTTTATTGATGTAAATCAGAAAAAAATTAGCAAGGTACATAATAAAAATAATCTACTTTAAGGATCCTTTTCTTGAAGAAATTTGCATCAATACTTATCATCTTTGGGTTATATGAATTTATCTCTTATCAAGCTTACGGCACCGGTTTAAGGATCCATTTTGCTCAAATCAGGGGGATAATTTGGAGATAGTCATACTCAGATCCTCAAAAAGAAACTCCGTGTTCTTCTACTACTTTACCTTCATAACAGTGATCTTCACCATTACTTTTTGGTCCCTTCATTGAGAACCTCCTGTCTTCCAAATAAAGAGGAAAGCAATTCCCTCTTATATAAGTATGTAACAATGGGATATCCAAGCAAATCTCTACCAGGTAGATTTTATACAACAGAACACTACTCCATTCACTTTTTATCATCATCATTGCCACAGATTTTTTTGTTTGCACTCTTCACATTAGACCTTAGCTAAAGAAAATGTTAGCATATATTTTGGTTAGTCATAAATCCTTTCCTTTCCTCTACTCCATATCTTATGTTAAAGAAAGTGTTAGCATATTCTTTCCCATTCCTTCAATCTTGATTCTTTTTGGCTTTCCTTTTGTGAGAAGAACCATTACCTTGCATGCTTGCATCACTATTCCTTCTAGAGCAGTCAACGGAGCCCAAAAGTCCAACACCTGCTCTGATTATTTCAGGTTTGGATGATCAATTTACATAATTGGGTTGGATTTGGATTTTGGAGTTTGCATCCATTTAATAATCAGATTGTGTGCATCTAATCTGATTAAACTATACAACATACCTATCATATAAGTATATGCATAAACATATACATGGATAAAATAAAATTGGTATTTCATATGTATATAAATTTATTTATATGTAAATGTTAAAAGTGAATAATTTTTATAAGTCTTCTTAATCATTTCTTTATTTTCCTTTTAAAATTATAAACAGACCTGAATTAAATCTGTATCTGATCCAAAATCTGATAGTATCCAAATCCAACCCGAGACCCCTAGATCTGATTAGATTCAGATGTAAGACTAACTAGATAATGACCACTCCATCACAAGTACTGAGCCACTATTTTGATCTACTTTGTTTGACATCCATTATCGATTTATATTAGGTTTTTTATTTGATTTTTTTGACATATAGGTTTTTTATTCGACTAGTAAGCATGCACGTGCTGCACATGGCAATTTTTTATGATGATGATAGTGAATGGGGAGAGATGTAATAGTTCAAATTACATTTTGTGCCCCTTAGGAGGGGTTATAAGGAATGAAAGAGGAAATGTGGTTGGTCTAGCAACCACAGGTAAGGGGGAGGGGGATTCAAAATTAGTAGTAGGTTGGCTGCAATCAAATAGTTTGGGAACATGGTCCCTTAGACAACTGGTAAGGGAATTATCGAGCCTCACAAGGGAGCTGGATGCAAAAGTGTATTGGTCTAGGAGGTCAGCAAATGCTTTAGTTGACAACCTAGCAAAACAAGGGGTGAATCGGGAGTTTTTATTTTGTGCAGTGTCGTAAGATTTTTGTTATTCAGGGGTCACCTTTTACTTTGGAAGGTGACAGTTGTTTCTTATGGTTTTATCTAATGAAAGTTACCATTTCCTATCAATAAAAAAAAAGAGGAAATGTGGTTATATTATACTTGGTTCCCTTAGGCGTGGGGGACTCCACTAGGGCAGAATTATTAGCTGCCCTTCAAGGGGTGCAGTTTGTAGTACAGCTAGGAGTGGAGCATCTAATAATAGATGGAGATTCCAAGGTGGTCGTGAGGTGGTTACAGAAACCAGAGTCGGTGGTGTTGTGTTTTAGGAATAAAATCAAGAAGTCTGTGTATTAGAATATGTTGGGTGGGGAGACCAGCAAATGCTATGATACCTTAGCCAAGCAAGGGGCAAACAAGGAACAATTGTATTGGGCATCTCTGTAGTAAGCTTTTGTTTTTTATGTCTTGGAGAGGTCGCAGCTCGTGCCTCTTCACGGGACACTTGTACCTGTTCTATACACTTTCTAATAAAATCTTTTTTCATTTATAAAAAATTATATTTTGTGCGGAGGGACCAAATTATAAAAAATAGGGGTTTTCTAGTCAAAAACATGATTTAATGAATGTTAATGGGACTTATTGCCTTACATATAAGACTTGATGAGAGGGATTTGAATAAGGATACAAGTGGTTGCTCAAATTACATGTCTATCCTTATAAATAGAGAAAGAGTAAATTAAAAAATTGGTGTATTTTAGTAAAAAAAAGTTCCACACTCTCACTTGCACTTTTAATAGTAGTATAAATTTAAAATATTAAATCAAGTTTTATTTGTAAATTATAACCCACTTTATTTAGATTCACTATTTATCTTGTATATCTAATTTGAGTTCCTTATTTAATTTTAAAAATTAAATCAAGTTTGTAATTGATAATCTATTTCATAAAAAAGAATGAGACCCATACCATTCTTTTATTTGAATTAGGAAATTAATTTGAAAGATTAATATAGGTCCTACATCTTTTGAAGTGAGTATTTTTTTTGATAAGTAGCTACATGTTTGCAGTTAGCATTTTTTCAGAGAGTGGAGTTAACCACTGACTTTTTTTAGAGTGGGTAGACGTGTGTTTGAGGAAGAAGACTTTTATTTGAGAGTGGAAAGAACCCCTCTCTGGATAGGATGCCACATATCTAAAGTAAAGCATTCTAGTCAAATGAAAGTAAAGAAAGACCAGGCCTCCTTTTTTATCAAGTCAAACTTTTTTTTTATTAGATGGTTTGAGGTTTGACTATATTGTTCTGAGCTGTGTTTGCCTGGTTTGAGCTTATGCTGGGTTTCAAAACATTAATGATTATATGAGTTTTGGAACTTTGTTGTTTTATAATATAACTTACTCATTTTATAATATATCTCCCTTGTGTATACTCCTATCTCTGTTGAAAGTCATATACAAGTAAGTAAAAAAATTAACCACTATGTTAAGTTGATTTGTTATGATTTCCTGAGATAATTTGGTTTGAAGAACATGCACATTTTCTTTTGAGGTTCTAAACCATCCTTAGTTATGCTTAAAGTCATTTTGATTGTATCATGGTAAAATACTTTAATATTCTTTTAATTTCTTATCTAAGAAAAATGCATCATGATTAATGTACATAACTACAGTTTATGCTTGTTTCTTAAAGATGCTAGTTCTATTTGAACTCATTTCTTGTTATCCATCTTATTTCAGGTTTGCCGCAAGGTTATTGACCTGGTTTTTGAGCCGGATAATGGGAGCATCTGTTGGATTTCGGATTGCTGGATGGAACTGCTTGAGGGATGTGATTGTGAAATTCAAGAAGGTTTCTTCTTCAATCATTGTTATTTTGTGTGCTTTGGCTAAGACATATTTGTTTTTATCTTTATTGAACAAATTGTTGCTGGATGGAATTGCTTGAGGGATGTGATTGTGAAATTGTTGTTTGACAAGTTATGTGGTTAAACAAACAATTATGCTACTAGTAATTTTTGTTTTTGTCATTCCATTTGAATCATTTTTTTCCAGATGGTAATTCATTAATGAACTTGATTTTTTCTTTTTCATTTTTTTAATAAGGTGAGTTTGTTTGTAGTTATAAATGGATAGGTGGTGGGTGTTGGTTGTTGTTGGTGATGATTGTGTTGAGAAGAAATCTTAGAGAGTCTTGAAATTTCATTAATCTCTAATTTGTTGGGTTTCTTGGATGGGGTTTACCTTGATCCTGGGAAAGAAGATAGCTGGATTTGGGCCCTTCATGCTTCTGGTCTGTTCTTGTGTGCCTCTTTTCTTGATGAGAATTTACATATATTAATAATGGTCAAGAGGAAAACCCAAGTTGCTCAAATAGGCATCAGGAACAGTACAAAGAAAACACCAATTTGTTGACCATACCAAAACAGTAATGAAATAATCTATCCTGTTACATTAAGCCCCTGGTTGTGTGCCTCTTTTTTTAAAACCTCAGTTCCCACTCTCCAGTGTCTGCACCCCTTTCCTGTAAAAGAGGTTTGGTTTAAGTCTATTCCATTTAAGTGGGAACTCTTTGTTTGAGAAGTTTTTTTTTTTTTTTTTTTTTTTTTTTTCTTTTTCTTCATGAAAGCATCAAGACATGTTGCTTAATGCAAAAAAAGGAGGCCTTACTGGTATATCTCACTGCATTAGTGTACACTTCGTAAATCTAATGGTGAGTCTTGTTTACATAATTACATTTACTAATCTCTTGTCCATTTGCTCTTAGTACTTGGGGAGGGCTCTTTCCTTTTTTTTTAGGTACTAGAGGAATCTTCTCCTACTTGTGTGGCTAACTTGTTCTCACCAACAACCTTGAGAATGCCAAAAGGAAGAGGAAGAATTATGTGGAGATGTGCAGGGGCAGCAATGGTATGGACTTCATGGCAGGAGCGAAATGTTAGATTTTTCAAAGACAATGAAAGAAGCGAGGAGGAAATTTTTTAATGTGTCATCCATAGGGCAGTTTCATGGATAAAAATGATGGAGTTAGTCTTACCTTTTTCCATGGATGACACTTCAAGGAATTGGGTTGTGATAGTGGGCTCATCTTCAACAAAGAGGAGGGAGGCTTGTGCATGGATGAAACCGAGTAAAGGATTTTTATAATTGAATTTTGATGGTAGTAGTTTTGGAAATCTGGGGCCTTCTGGTATGGGGTCTGTTTAGAAATCAAGAGGGTAATGTAGTTGTGAACTAGCGATGTATTCAGGTCCAATTGGTATTGTGATGCAGTATCTTTGTGGTTTAGCACTATTTTGCAACTAAACTTAGGTCTAGATGTGTAGCACAGAACTAAAGGGCTAACAAAAGAAAGAAGAGAAGAGAAGAGAAGAGATGGGAAGAAGATGAAAAGTTGAAAACGTTAGGCAATCACACCTGTGGGTGAGTGCAATCACACCAAAATTTGTAGAGAAACTTTGCTTATTCATTAGTCAAAACTGTTCTTCAAATGAGTCTTGCAAGCTTAATAAGAAAGAAGCTTCCAAAGGAAGAAACTTGTCCCCCTAAGTTAGCTTGCCCAACAAGCTACTTATGAAAAGAAGCTAGATTAGACTAAACCTGTCCCAAACAATTACAAACATAAAACTAAACAAACGGAAATTACTAGACTAAGATCTGTCCCCAAACATAATACCTAAAAATGCAAAATTATAAAAATACCCTTGCTGTCCAAAAATGTAAGACAGTCAAATAAGTCCTGTCCAGCAGCAAACTCAACCACACAAAGGACATCTTAAGGTGGATTGAAGACTCTATGATCTTGCCAAGTTGATTCGCTGCTAACCCAGCTCCCATGTGAGCCCCACGTCATCGTATTGATGCCAAATAAACATAGGAGCAGCTTTTTTTTGGATTGTTACATAGGAGCAGCTTTGGTTCTCTTTTGATACGCCTTAAGTTGATTTCCATCATCTTGGGGATTTGATCAGAGATGAAATTATGGTGGTTGTGTTTGGAGTGCAGAAAGCTGTGGGAATGTTTCTTTCATACATAATTATAGAGGGTGACTCAAGTGATAATAAGCTGGTTGATGAATGAGGAAAAGCTATTTAGATTTATAGAAATCTGATGAGTGTTTGAGTAGGAACATGGAAACTAAGGTCCAATTATTTAGTAGGGTGGCAAATGGCATGGCTGATACGTTAGCCAAGGAAGGGGTAAATAGAAACCAGGTTTTCTGGGCTGAATTGTAATACATGTTTTGGGGGGAGATAACTGGCGTGATGCTCCATTGGGTTATCTCTTTAGTTGGGTTTTCTTCAAATTTGTATAGTCTTGTAAATTTTAATCAATGAAACACTTTTGATATTGATAAATTGTGGCGATTTTGGTTGTCTATGCTGAAGGCATAGTTGTCATTGGGAGCAACATATCCAAAATCTCAAAACTGAAGTGGTATTTGGCTATAGGTTTTGAAATTAAGGATCTAGATCATCATCTATGCCTTGTCTATGCTGAACTATATAGGGTTGACGATAATCCTGTTTCACCATTCCGTTTTGTTTAGTGCCATATAAATCAAGGATTTGGATTAACTCGGGAATTTCTCGGGGATATATAGCACGTCTGATGCGCCTCGCCCAGGTCCTAGGCGCACCCCTTTCAAAAGGCGATGCGTCTTGTGCCTCAGCCCAGGCGTGTGCTCACTGAAGCTCCGAGAACCCCCTATTTACTAATGTTGTTCATTCATTAATTCCAATAAAATATCTTCTTAAAAGACAATTAAAGTTATAAAATCATTATTTTTCATTTGAGAAATAAGAATTTCAAACCCTAACATAGACTTGTTTGGGCTTGCCTCGAGGGGCATAGTACAAAGGCAACTCATAGAATCATGAATGCAGTATGTTTTACATCACCTTAGCTACTTAAAGCAATGCAATTAAGGAAAAAAAGAGATTGTGGGTTTTACATGCTTGAAAATGCTTTATATGTTTGCTTTTTTTTTTTTTAAATTTTCATTTGAATACACTTTACATGTTATGTTTATGTATTTTAATTTTAGATAATTGGTTTTTTTAAAACATTTATTTTAAAATTTATGTTTATATTTTTTTTATTAACATTATGTTTAATATTTTTTGCATTTTTTAAAATTTTTGGGATTTTTTTTGAATTTTCTGACTTTTTTTTTTGATTTTTTAGTTTTTTTTGTAGTTTTGCGCCTTTCTTAAAAGTCGCGTGCCTCACCTTGCGCCTCAGGCGCAAATTGGCCCTTGTGCCTTGCGCTTTTAAAACACTGTATTCATTTCATAGAGGAAGTATATCTTGGATTTGTTGAAGGAGATGGGTAAACTTAGAGCTAAGCCCGCTGATACTCCTACAAATCCTAATCATAAGATTTATGGGAGTAAGGGTGATTTCATTGTGGATGAAGGGATGTATCGGTGTTAGTGTTTTGTTGACAAACTTCTATATGTGCATTTTTTAAGGTAAATAAAATATAAACTTCATTAAATGATGATCATGGAGAGCAATATTCAAGCACTGTGGTAATGAGAAATCACCCAACAAAGGAAAAACTAAAGAGAAAAGGTACAATGCATCAATCCCCCATTCCATCTCTAAAGATGACCAAAGACCATGACATCTTCTTTAGGGTGTTCAATCACCTTGTAGCCCATGAGTTGCTTAAGTTTCCCACTCTCCCTCTTGGAGCAAACCTCAAGGATAGTAGATTCTAGAATCTAATTTTAGAAAGGTTTGCAAAAAGATTGGCAGTTTGGAAGAGGAATTACATTTCCTTGGGAGGTAAGATAACTTTGATAAACTCCGTGCTTGCTACTTTAGAAAGGTTTGCAAAAAGATTGGGACTTCTGGAAGATAGGATAATTTTCGAAAAAATTATATGGGATATTCTGTGGGAGTTGGGGGAGGGGAGGGAAAGAAGGATCACCTGGTTAAGTGGGAGATATAGTATGTACGAGCAAGAGGTTTGGGAATAAGTAATGTAGGAAAAAACAATACGACCTTGATGGGGAAATGACTTTCGAGATGGGCTATTAAGAAAGGTTGTGACACAAAGTGGTGGGAGGGAGGGTGGGAGGGAGCCCGCGGGTGGGCTCATTTGCGTGTTCAAGCCCGTTCGGGGGCCGGGTAATAGGTCTAGGCATCACTATGGAAAGCTATTCATGGTCTAGCACACATCATTTATCATACCTAACAAAACTTGTACCCTTTCTCTGTTTTAAAAGGAGTCCATCTCAAGTTTTCTTACACCTCCCTTGCTTCTTGTGGTATAAATTGGGATTTTGGATTCAGAAGAGGTTTAAAAGAGGGTGAATTTGCTAAGGTTGCAGATTTTTTGCTCATCCTGGAAAAGTTTGTCTTGACTTATCCAAGCCCAATAGGCATGTTTGGACTTCCCATCCTAAAGGTCTCTTCACGTGTGCCTCTTTCTTTAATTCTCTTTACTTTTCTCCTCAAGGTCAACCTTTTCCTTCCAAAGGAGTTGGGTGTAGGTTTGTCCCCCCCTAAAATACGTGCCTTTTGTTGGGAAGTTTATTATAGGAAGATTAAGACTTTGGACAATCTACAAAAAAGAAGACTTTCTCTGCTCCCCTAATTGGTGTATTCTATGCAAGTCCAATGGTGAGAATTGTTACCACCTACTAATCTCTTGTCCAATTGTTGCAGGTAATTGGTATTGTTTTGGGTGTAGGTCAGTAGGTGAAACTTGCTGTTGGTGGTGGTGAGATTGTTTGATCCGACTGGTACATTTTCTTGGCCCAGCAGAAGGGAAAGAGTCTTGTGGAGATGTACAAGGGCAGCAGTGCTCTGGACTATTTGAGAAGAAAAGAATGCAAGAAT